AAATACTATTATTTCCCTTTTTTACAGATGAGGAAAAGGGGACTTGAGAAGTTTAGGAATATCTAAACTTACACAATAAATTAGACACAGGACTCAAATTCTAAAGTATCTGACATCAGAGCCCAGATAGAAAACAAATTTCAAAATCTTTTATGAAAAACACATTGCTCAAATTTTTTTGTCTTTATGTGCCTATGATGTGGAACAACCATTCCTGCTGGTGTGCCAGGAACAATCCCAGTTTACATCTGTTTTCCAGTGTAATTAGTAATAGCAGTCCCTTTCTGTGTCACAAGTGTCCCAGTTTAGACAGTGAATTGTGTGGTCATCCTGCCTCAACGCCACAGGCCTACATTGAAACTTGCTATACAATTTCCCAGGCCCAATGAAAAACAAAAATGTCTCTAATTTCTCATTTTTTATGGCTGAGTAGTACTCCATTTTATAAAAAAAACACATTTTCTTTATAGCTAAGTGGATGCACATTGAAGCGATACTCTTAAGTGAAATAAATAGGACACACGTGTAAATACCGAATAGTTTCTCTGGTGTGAGAAACTGAAAGTGTAAATAAGGACTAAAATGTATAATAGGTAATGTGAAATAGGAAGAAAGGGGGCAAAGGGCGAAGGAAGTGGGAGGGCTAGGGGAAAGGATAGAAGGGAATGGGATTAATATGAGAAAATGGAAAAATAGGAACAAAATCTTTGTAAATAGGGAGGAATGGAGGGGTTGAAGGGAGGGCTGGGCAAGGGTGAAAAATAAGAACCAAGAGAGATTATGTAAAGGTGCAAATTTCCAATGATGAATGTCATTATATTGTATACCTAAAATGTACCAATGATTAGAATGAATAATCGATAATGTAAAATAGGAAGAAAAGGTCCAAAGGGGTAGGGGTAGTGGGAGGGGCAGGGGAAAGGAAAGAAGGGAAAGGAAAAATGCTGAGAAATGGAAAAAATGGAAATAAAGTCTTTGTAAATAGGGAAGGGTGGAGGGGGTGAAGGGAGGGCTAGGAATGGGGAAAAAATAAGAACCAAGATGCATCATGTAAAGGTACAATTCCCAATGAGAAATGTAATTGTGTTGTATACCTACAATGTACCAATAAAAGAATTTAATACAAAAAAAAAAAGAAAAACAAAAATGTGAGCATCTCCCTTAATTAGAAAGCATGGAAAAGCACTAGAAAAGGTCCTAAAATACAAAACTTTTTTCTTTGGTGTATCCACTGTGTTGTTGCTCCATTGTCCCATTTGACTTCACGAGTAAAACACAATTTGAAAGATAAACTCAATAAGAATTTCAAGATGGCAGCAGCAGAGCATTAAACCAAATGACCAGGTTTTCTGAGTTCAAATCCTTGTATCACTGCACAACATGCACACTCATAAGGGCTCTGGATCTACCCTTTCTCCATCCACTCAGATGGGCCCGTGATCTTGGCATGCTGTGTCACTGGACTGAAAACAGAGAGCAGGCTGCAACATACTACAGTCAACTTTAGAACTTAAATACTTGATATTAGGTTCATAAAATCATTTCCTTAGAAGAAAAGTTTTATAGTACTTCTAATGAAGCACAAAATTTCATTTCCCAAGCAAAACAAGAACATAAATTCAAGCAAATTAGGTCACTCTCTAGCATTTTATCTATGATCTAAAAATAATTCATCTAGATAATTTAACCTAGCATTAATCTCAAGTGAAAATTCAGAATACATGAAATGTATTAGATTACAAATGTATTACACAGTCCTTAATGTCTCAATGCCTGATTTAAATCTTAGTTTTAAACTTTTGTTGGATAAAGTCATACGTTCCCCCAAAAAGCTTAACAAACTTAAGCACAAATGAAAGTAAAAGGAAATGTGAACTTTAAGGATGACCTGAGGAACTGTCCTTAAAAAATGAGGTAGTAAAATAAAGGATGGCTCCATTCATTCATTCATTCATTCAATAAACATGTATTGATTACCTACAATGTCACAACCACTGCACAAAATACTGGGGGAAGCACAGGCAAGAAAAATACACGCTGGTGCTCAAGGGTCTAGTAAAATGAAACAAGGAAACAAATTAGTAAGCATGGTGTAGATAGGGACAAAGCAGGGAGTGCCTGGGGAAAATGGGATAAATGAGTCTTTAAAATCCAGTAGGAATCCACCAGGAAGAGAAGGCAGCCCCCAACCCACCCAAGCCCAACCTGAGTGGCACGACACCATGGTAAAAGCCACTCTAAATTCTGACAGCCACCTTAAAGCACAGACTTTTGTTCAAACAGTAAGTATGTACCTAGGACCTAGGTGGCAATTAGAAAAAAAGATGCATAAAGAATAATATATGATATAGGGCAAAAATGGCAACGCTTATGGACGGACTAAGGGTTGGAGATAGGGAAGGTGCTCTAAAGGCAGAACTAAAGGGAGAGGACTGGAAAGACTTAAAATATGAGTAAGAAATTTTTCCTTATGGTCCTACGATCTTTTAATCAAGGGAAATCATATCATTTTACTTGCTTATTCGTGGGCATGTAATAAATATATGTTCTTGATAGAGCAAAATATATGTTTTCCTCCTCTTCTTCCTTTTCCTAATTAAGAGTCATCCTTCATCCATGGCAGTGGCTTAAAGCAATGACAGAAATTGAAAACAATGACAAACATTTAAATTTGGCTTAGGTATCCATACCAATGCATGGCCAACAAATTTACCACTCAATTTGTTTACTACTATAGCTGATCTTTTTTTAAATAGCTTTTATTGTTCATCCCTATTTCTGATCATTCCTTTAGGACAAGTTCTTACAAGGAAAATTATCAGCCCAAGGGGCATGAATACTTTTAAGGCTCTTGGTATATATTAGCATAGTCTACTATGAAAACTTCATTGACTACATCAACTATAGGTAACCAAGTAAAACTCTGAAGGGATTAAGTGTTTCTCTAAATAATTCCCCAAAAGAAAATGTCATAATGAGTTAGAAACACACTTTAGACTTTTAGTAGTTTTGATGAAAAAGAAGCCAGAGTAAATCTTTATAGGCCATTCAGGCCAGTAAGTTCATACGTATGTATAACCAAATATAAGCACAAATAATGAACAAAGGAAAAGTGGAAGAGGTCAAGTTTCTGAATAAAATAGCAAGAACAAAATCATAAGATGATGTTCTACTTGTACAAAGGAAAATACAATTTATTTTATACCTCCCATATTTTCATTCCTCACTCTATAGTAAGAATAGTTTTCAATTGTGATATTCAGATGTTCAGCATAGAGGAAAAACTAACATTTTTAAATAAAGATCAACAATTTAGTTATTCAGGGGCATTAGGTTAGTGGTCTATTTCAGCAATTTAGCACTTTGCATTGTATTGTTTCATCATTTTCAGAAAGCAGTAACTCTTTAAGAAATGACTCCAATTCTTCAAAAGTCAAAGGACTTTGTCAACCACAAAGTTTGATGATAACTACACTTGAAAATACTAAAACTTAAATCTCCTTTAAAACATGATCTTTCACCCAGGTGTGGTGGGACATCCTTATAAGCTCAGCAGTTTGGGGGGCTGAGACATGAGAATCACAAGTTCAAGGCCAGATTGGGCAATTTAGGTAGAACTTGTCTCAAAATTAAAATTAAAAGGGCTGAGGATATATATAGGCCGGTGCAAAGGCTCTGGATTCAATCCCCAGTACTTCAATAAATAAATAAATAAATAAATAAATAAATAAATAAATAAATAAGCAAAGCAAGCTCTTTTCACAGTTACTGCTGCCTGGACATGTACAATTAGTTCTATATATCACCAATTACCAGGATATTCTCAAATATCTGCACCTTTCCAAAGAATGTGCCCCTGGGAGCTCAAGTATACTGACTTTGAGAAGGCAAGCAGAAGACAACCTGAGCGTTTTAGTGCAACTTTTAGAAGCCCCGAGACATTGTTCTTTGCTTCTTGACACAGCCAAGAAATGAATTTCCTTCATCCTGTCAACAGAAACTTTTCAGATTTCACAAAACTGAGCAGGAAGTTTGGCATCTGAAACATTTCCCTTCAAGACCAGAGGAACAGCGATGGAAGAAGTTTGGAGGATTTGAGTAAGACTGCTCCTGGTTTTTTGAGTGATGCTTTCCCAGGCATCTAGGTGGCCAGGAGCCAGTCCTCAAACCCTTTGTCTTTTCAGCAGTGAACAGGGAAAAACCCAGCGTTTGAGTGATGTCTCATAAGTTACTTCCACTCAGTTCTACCCTTACCACCCTAAAGTGAATGAAATGTTTTCAAGGCCAACTTCCACCGAGTCAAGCTGAAACCTGGAAACAAAGTTCATACCCACTTCTACGAAATTCTGATGTTGTTAGGCATGAGTTTCATACACCACTCTCGTGGGCTCCGCGCACACAGGGGACCAGGGACTAAGCAGAGGGCAGAGTTAGACCAGGAGAAAGAAGACTGTGGGGCAAGGTCGGAAGGAACACACATGCGGCTTTAATATCCAACAGCTGCTGGAGATCATAACCCTACTGCTCCCATGTTTCAAAGATGATTGCGACTAAAGGGATTTCACTGCCATGTTATCTGAATAAAAGTTCAGCTCAGATTGATTCAATTATTTCGTTTAACTATATAGACCTGAACGTAGCAGAGTGGAACCTTATTCACCACATCAACGCTTTAAAACAGAATATCCGGGGGGGGGGGGGAGAGAGAGAGAGAAGAAAGACGAGAAACTGACACAATGCAAGAGAGGGATAATGAAAATTGGGGAAAGACGGGCAGCCAGGATTCTCTGGGCAAGAGCGCTCTTCCTGCCGACCTGCTCCGGACTCCGAGCTCTCCAAGGCCCTGGCCGCTCGCTCAGGGTGTCTCTAGCCATTTAAAAATCCCCGCGAGGTCACCGCGCCCGCCCGCGAGAGCGCACTCGGGTGCCCGCGATGCTCCCGCCGGTCCCCGGCGCAGACAATGCTGCGCGCTCCCCGCGTCGCAGCTCGGGGCCACTCACCGACACCAGGAACTCCAGCGTGCCCACATAGTCCCGCTCGGTCTTCTGCAGCTCGCTGAGCACGCACACGCGCAGGCGAAGCTGCTTCTCCGCGTCCTTGGCGCTCTCGGCGCGGCCGTCCCCGCGGCTCTCCTCGCTCATGGTGGGCGGCGGGACGCGGGGCTGAGCGGCCGTGCTGAGCGCTGCCCTGCGCGCCTGCTGCTGCGCGGTCCCCGGCGGCGAAGAGGGAAAGTTGTGGCCTCTGCAAAGTCCTAGGAGGGATGGGTGACTACATGCTGAGCAGAGTCTAGGGCGGGGGTAAAGGAGGTCGCAGGGGCCGGGACTCCCGCGCGGGAGGCGCGGGTCTCTGCGCAGGAAACTCCCGGGAGAGTCACTCCGGCCTCTGCCCTCCGGGCAGAGCCCCGCCGCTCCTGCCTCACGCGGCCTGAGCCCTAGGGGAGGCGGCTCTCGCTGCCACCGCAGTGACTTGGACATTAATCAAATGCTTTCTGTCCATGTGACTCCGACCTTTTACCCTTCGCCAAATCTCAGGAAAAAGGAAACACAACCCTGGGGAAGTGTGTCGTGCCAGCTAACTAAACACGCGCGCGCGCGCACACACACACACACACACACACACAGAGACACAATCAGCCCTTGAAATGGAAGTAATTGGAGGCTCCCAAACCTAGAGGACACACTCCAAGACAGCTCCAGAACTGCTCCTGAGACTCCCGCCTATTGTTTAGCTTTACTGTGTTTTGCACAAATCCTGAAAGCAAAGAAACAAGTCCCCACGGTTACGTAACTGGATGGGAACAAAAACAACCACAGTATTGACCCTCTCTTCTTTGAAAAGCAGCACATTGATTTTTGGTTTTATTCAGGCACAAAACAGGTTTGCTTTCAAACCCTTCCCTCCCCAGTGGGGACTATTTCACAAGGCAGACATCCCCCTGTCTGCTCTTGGAAAGTCAATTAGCATAATAAATGAGGATGCTGTAGGAAAGTGACAACCCCTGTCTATACAATAAAGTCCAGAAACAATAGCACTGGGCTGTTTAGACAGCTTTGCATGTCTAATTTTTTTTCCAACATCAATGTAGTTTATAAATTCAAAGAGAGGCAAAGGATATTTGTGTTAATTTGGTCTAAGAGCTGCTGTGGTTTCAAAGCATAAAGCTATTATTGAAGGCTAATCAAAAGATAGATGATTGGTAGACAGATAATCTTGTTTTTAAAATGAAAAGACACAGCATTGCTGGTTTTAATGTTTAAGTTTATTGCTTTTTCTCACTTGTAAAGAAAGCCAAGACCTACTAAGCACTGATTATTCACAATAAATTTAACAAATACAACAATACATATTTTTTAATTTAAATGTCTTTCACATATATTTTCTAGTCATTTTGCTCTCCTTGGAACAACTTTAAACAGTCCACAACTAATGACATTTAAATAAACTGAAAAATGGTTTTGATGCAAGAAAGTGGCATGTTAACTTGTTCCAAGAGTTGAAAGGATTAGCAAAGCTAAATGTAGATGTTATCCTCAGTATAAAATAATTATTGATTTTCTAGATAATGCGTATTTCAAAGCATAGCTGTGACTATAATGTATAATGAAACAAAGAAGGATTGTAGTTTTCCTCTTACATTAAAAAATACAATTTTTGAATTATGTAAAAGTTGTGATTTTCCTCTTTTGTACATGGTTATTTAGATACAGCCAAGAGCAAAGAGCAAATAACGCAGATGGCTTCACAGGGAGTGAGCAAGTAACAAAGGGCAACACACAGTAAAGAGCAGACTGGACAGCACCTGGTAAACAGAGAAAAGGAAGATGAAGACGTAGGAAGCACACATCCAGTAGTGACTGGGAAACTCAAACATAACTGAACCTTCTCTCCAAGCACTCCAGGCAGCAAGGAATGAATGCATTTCTTCCTCCAGAGTCTGCCTATTCCCCAGTGGGAAAAAAAAATAAGAAAATAAAGTAGCTTTCCATCAGATAGTCTAAATAAAACAGAATTTTTGTTTACCAATTGCCCCCCATGAGAAAATTGCTTATGAATTTCCCTTTATGAAAACATTAGTCTATGCACAATCCGATAGACCTGCCATCTCCCTTCTGAGAGCTCTGCACTTGAGTTTGAATCAGCAGTGGGGTTTTATGCATCCAAAGAATTTGACTCAACTCCACATACATGTCTGGGAGACCTCTAAGAACACTGCACAGTGCTAAGGCCTGAAAACCACAGACTCTATCTCTGGACAAATACTTCTCAAGTTAGGCCACAAACCATTGCATTAAAATCACCTGACTTCTTTCTAAAATAAACCTTCCTGGCCCCTATCCCAAATTTATTGACTGAATGTCTCATCCATTATACCCTAAATTCTTTTAACAAGGTGTTCATTCTTAGGCTAACATTTGAGAACCACCATCTAATCACTTGCTATTGAGAAGATCAGAAGTATAAGCCACGCTATTAAAAAGAAAAACCACAATGAATGCTTTGCAAAAAAAATAGGAAAGAAAGAAAGAGAGAGAAAGAAAGAAAGTAAATGAAAACTATCAGAAAGATATTTATTTTAATTTTGCTCAGAAATACCTGTGTCAAGACTATTATGATATTTATGGTTTCTGACAACTCTTTTGCTCCTCAGTCTACTCCTCAATATCTTTTGTAATTAATGAACAACTCCAGGACACCATGTAGTGCCTGTTGCCAGACACCTCTCAGTGTCTCTGCAACCCTAAGTAGAGTTTTTAATTCTTCATCAAAGACCTAAGAGCATAAGAAAACAGGGCTAGAGTATCTGGAAACTTTCACTTTGATGGTAAATAAGGTCTTTCATAAATTCTGAATGTGTTGTATCCCTTCCCACTTCCTCTATTGAAAAGTTAGGCTCTGTCTGCCAGAAAAAGAAAGGCAAAATTCCAGATGATGGACAAGATCCAGTTTTTTCCTAAAATACTAATGAGGTTGAAGCCTTCAATAAAAAAGAGATGGAAGAAAAGAAGATAGAGAGAAATGGCTGAGGACTAAACTAGCTCAGCCATTAAATTTATTTCATATGCATGAACTTGGTGTGGTTAGAATCCATTATCACAAGGTTCAAAGAGCCACAGTTCAGAGCAAAGTAGGCTTCGTTTGGTCAGCCCCAGAGAAGGACGGCTTCTGGATTAAAAGTCTGAAAAATCCAAGGCTACCTCTTTGCAAAATAAAAAAGCTCCCTGGACATATTACAGGGAAGTCATTTTAACCTCTTCACCATTTCACTACTATTCTTCCAAGAAAAGTAATTGATCAAATTTTATACTGAAGGCAAGTAAAAGACACAGCACATAAATATTGTATGACCACCTTATTAGAGAACTGTAAGAGTTAGACTGTTTTTTATCCACAAGTAAAACTGATTCTTTCATTTCCTTTACTGCTCTGGTCTATTATAGACAATCCTACATTATAGTAATACAGAAAAGGGGCCGGGGATTTAGCTCAGTGGTTCCGCCGCCTGCCTTGCAAGCGGAAGGATCCGAATTCAATCCCCGGTACCAAAAAAAAAAAAAAAAAAAAAAAAAAAAAAAATTTTTTAAAAATACAAAAAAAAAAAAAAAAAAATAGTGTATATTAATACAGAAAAATATTACAAACACACTGGAACTATATTAACACATATTTAAGAGTCTTAAGAAAATAAGTAATTTGAAGAATATTACTTAATTTAGTTTATAATTCGTGCTTACTCCCTCAGTTACTTGCACTTGATTTTGTTGGCAATTTATTCATAACAAGAACGGCAGGTTCTGGACCATTAATTAATTTTATGGTATTACTCTAAGGATTTTAGAATGTGTAGTACTATAATACAGATTTCATAAATTATATTTATTCATAACAAGAACGGCAGGTTCTGGACCATTAATTAATTTTATGGTATTACTCTAAGGATTTTAGAATGTGTAGAACTATAATACAGATTTCATAAATTGTGTTTTAGTTTCTTATACAATATTTTATAGCAGAGCAAACTAAATAAATATTTGCATGTATTACTTCAGCAAGACTAAAGTTCCTAAAGATGGGATCATTCAGATTAGTCTGATTAAGACCAAATCATCCTCTTAGCCATAATCTAACATGTAATGGGAAATAATTGTCATGTTATGAAAACTTAACCCTACAACAGTCTAAGTATAATAGCCAGTTTGGGTTACTGCCAGATCAAGATCTATCTGCTCACCACTCAAAAACCAATACTTGGTAAACAAAGGTTGCTGGAAACATCAGGTTTATTCAAGGGCTGTATGTGTTAAATTGGAGGGGATTTTTATCCTCAAAACATCATCTTAGGTGAACTCAGGTACACAAAAAAAGTTTTTATAGGGAGGGAAAGGAGTTTCAGTAGGACAGTGAGCAGGAAGGCTGAATGTAGAGCATCATCTTTGTCATCCAGGGCATGTGTCTCTTTTTTTTCCTCTGGCTGGAAGACCACAATTGACCTTGGCCTCCTAGTTCTAGTTCCTATATTTTCTTTACACAAACATATTACTGTGTGGCAAGTTAAACCTCACAGGAATTTATATGCTTTGTGTTAACTGGTACATAGGTTTAAAGAATAAGGAGAGACATTAGATATTCTAGTATTATCTGAGGTTCACTAGATATTCTAGGTTCTGTATATCTAAAGAAGGATTATTTAGCAGTTAACATATTAAGCATTTAGGTACAACTTTTCTTTAGAATTTAGAATGCTATAAGTTCAAACAGCATGTAACAGACTCTGATGAAGGGACCCTTTTGGTTGTATCACATCGTGGCAGGAGCACATATGTTTTGTGTACGTTCTCTCTCTCTCTCTCTCTCTCTCTCTCTCTCTCTGTCTCTCTCTCTAGAGCCACCAAGATTTAATCAGGTGGGCTCAATCCTAATGACCTAATTTAACGTACTCACTCCCCAAAGGCCCTACTTCTAAACACCATCCTTGAATTAAGTTTCTTCCTTCTTAATACTATTAACATAACTTTGGGTGTTAAATTACTGAATTAATTTGGAAGTACAAACTATTTTCAAATCATAACGATGAAATAAAGGAGAACTTTGAAGGGACATTATGGTGGGAGTTTGTTCCTGAAGGTACCTGACTCACTTAGAGGTTAACATTGAGATTTTAAGACACTCAGTTTTGGAGTGAGCAGTTGATCAGTTGTCTACTGAAGCAACATCTAGAAGTTCTGAACTTTGTCTTCTTATGGACCATTTAATGGTATGTGCCCATCACTTTAGAAATCCCTGTACTTAAAGAAATTCCATGCACTGATAGGTTTAGAGATGGGTTTTTACCTATCCTTGGACTAATTGTAGTAGTAAGAAAATGCCATGAGAGCCTGGGTATTTAGCTCAGTTGTTCCGCTGCCTGCCTGCCTCGCAAGCGCAAGGTCCCAAGTTTGATCCCTGGTACCAAAAAAAAAGAAATTGCCATGATTGACTTAGGTCAAATCTATTCCTGT